CATCATAGGAAGGGGTTATACTATAGGTATTACAGTAATGAGAGGAGGACGATCTAGGGTTACACAGGCAATAGGAAGGGGAGGGATTGTGATATACATGTGACAAGATGGGCAGATCCTAGATTCAGGATGGCAGCCTAACCTTGGATGTCACTGGGCAGGTTTGACCACTTCTCTGGCTCTGCATGGAAACAATTAGTACACTTATCAGTAGGGTGTGTGCCCCACCTACAGTGGATCAGATGCCTTCAGGGAGAATATCTCTAAGCATCTGACCTCTCACCATAAGCTGGCAAATAGGCTCTAATATTTGGCATATCTTTGGGGGGAGACAAAGCTGTGAAAAGTCGTTTTATATTCCACAACTGGACACCACCTGCATCACTTTTCTAGTGCGAGTCTCAGAACCAGGGGCTCCATTCTGCCCTTTCCACCCTTACATACAACTGTGCCTCACACGTGCAAATACCTAATATGCATTCAGATGAAACCACAGCTGTTGGAACTTGCTCTGAAAGCAGAGGTCTGTTTGTTCAAATGTGGACGTGCAGACACAGCTCTCTCACGGATCTGGATGTGCAGATTGTCTCTCTCACGGTCAGATTGACTTTTGTGCTTTAATGTTATTGAAAACATCGGGTGCTTAGCCTTGGAAAAAATAGTTGCCAGACAAACAAGAACAAGGATGGGGGCACTATTTTGAGCAATAGTACATTCCCGCTTAACAGTGCATAAAAGCTTGCTGGAAAATAAACTTGGGGCTGCAGTCTTGAATTGCAGTCCTCCTGTTCCCAGCTATTTTGTGTCTGTCTTTTCTCAGTCCTCACCCCCTCAATCGAGTCCCGGTTGCTCTGCTGGCGGGTTCCGGCACTCAGCATACATGTACTTAAAGTCATATGCCTTCTCACCCTGGAGAGAATTACCTTATCATGAATCTTATCCACATGCACATGAATTGCGTGGGTTTTCCTCTTTCTGGTGGCAACTCTGGGAGGTGAGTGCTTCAGCGATTCATACATGAAGTCTGGGGATACAGCATCTGAGCACATGACTCACTGTGTTTCTCTGTATCCTCAGGTGTCCTGATGCAGATGAAATTATGAGTCAGGCCCTGGACTGGTGAAGCCCTCACAGACCTTGTCTCTCACCTGTGCTGTCTCTGGATTCTCTTTAACCAGCTATCGTGTGCACTGGATCCGCCAGGCACCAAGGAAAGGGACTGGAGTGGGTTGGTGATATGTGGGATGATGGGAGCACAGACTATAATCCAACTGTCCAGTCCCGAGTCAGCATCACCAGGGATGCCTCCAGGAGCCAAGTTTATTTAAAACTGAGCTCTGTGAATCCTGAGGACACAGCTGTGTATTACTGTGCTAGACACACAGTGATGAGAAGCCAGCGTGAGCCCAGACACAAACCTCCTTGCAACAGACCATGGTTTCAGCAGATGCAAGAGAATTAAGTCAGTGATGCTTTCCTCTCAGAAGCTGTGGCTCCCCACCTTGTCACCATCTCTATAGGGACCAGCATGCACAGTGACTCTAGGGAATCTCCAGGCATCTGAAAATGCTTATTTTTGTAGGGATGCCCTTTATCTATCTCTCACCATCTACCCTAAGGCAGGATTCACAGCAATATGTATTGAGGAGCACTCAGTTTACAATTCAGGATACTAATAATGCCGTTTATTGTTAAGTTGATATTCAAAAAAAACAAACCCACTGCCATTGAGTCAGTGCCAATTTATAGTTAAACCACTGTTAGTTTCTGATTTTTACTGATGCTGAATCCACAAAATTATGTGGGCATGATTAAATGCTCAACTTCTAGCCAAAAGGTTGGCCATTCAAAACCACATGGCAACTATGTTAGTTAAAGAGTGCTTGTGTTTCTGAGAATCTGAGGGAGAACTCTTCCCCTTATTCTCTACTCCTCTGCTTTTAAATATTAGGGGACATGCAAATGCAGCTCTCTGCCTGCTGATAAACCAGCCACAGCCCCTGATGTGGGAGATCTCAGAGCACAGTCCCAGTCTCTGGGGTCTCTGCTGTTTCCATTTGTGCTAGTCCACAGGAAACATCATGGATTTGGTACCAACTTTAGCTTTCATTTTGGCCATTTTACACGGTAATCATTGTAGACCCTCCTGTGTATGTATGTGATTGTGAGTGCCTTAGTTTGTATGTGTTCTGCCTAATGACGATGCCTCTGTGTTTGCAGGTGTCCAGTGTGAGGTGAAGCTGGTGGAGTCTGGGGGGGATCTGAGAAAGCCTGGGGGGTCTCTGAGACTCTCTTGTGCAGCCTCTGGATTCACCTTCAGCGGCTATGACATGAGTTGGATCCGCCAGGCCCCAGGGAAGGGCCTGCAGTGGGTCGCATACATTAGTAATACTGGTGGTAGTACATACTATGGGGACTCCGTAAAGGGCCGATTCACCATCTCCAGAGACAACTCCAAGAACACACTCTATCTTCAGATGAACAGCCTGAAAGCCGAGGACACGGCCACGTATTACTTACTGTTCAAGAGACACAGTGAGGGGAAGTCAGTGAGAGCCCAGACACAAACCTCCCCTGCAGGGAGGACACTGGTCTCCAGGGGGCGCTCAGGACCCTCAGGACTCAGGACCCTCAGCCCTAGAAGCAGGTACAGCTGGAGCTTCACCGCTGGTTTCCTGTGGTGATCTGTGGATTCCTCTAAATCCCAGTTTCCCTAGGGAATATCTCTAATTTAAAAATCATAACTCTGTGCCTACTTTTGGTATCTGTGAATTCAACAGTATATTGTAATAGGAGAATATAGTCTGTCCTATAGTAACAAACAGCCTGTGCCTTAAAGACAAGACATGTCTCTGTCAGGGATCTCTGCATCAGAGTTCTGATGACACTCAGTAAACCCTCTCTGATCACACTCACGGTGAAGGTAAAGGTCGCTACTAAGTGTTGGACGACAGGCTGAAAGTTTGACAGTAGATTCTTCCATCACGCTTTGTGAGGACAGTCATTTGGTCAAAATCTAGGTGGTCAGTCTATTTTATTGAATTGCTTCTTCTAGTAGACACATGTTGTCATTGTTGCTGTTTGATTTGGTTGTTTTTCCTAACCATGGTGGCCTGGTATTTTTTTGGTCATTTCTGTAATCCCATCCGCAAACCCATAAACTCATCAACTGTCTTTTATTACCTTGGTGCTAACATTTTGTATCTGTCTATTCTCCAGAACGTTAGACCACAATTGTCAAGACAAAAACACATTTGTCTGTGCAAATTCAGGGTTCAGGGAGATCTCTATGGCTGAATGGTATCATACAGTTCTCATGTCGCGTGTTGTATCTTCATCTTCACAGTCACACAGAATGTGAGCCCTCTGTTTCTGCTTTCACCCAGAGGTTCAGCATTTGTCCTGTTAATCTCCTCACCCTACTTCTAGTGGATTTGCTACTAATTTATTGTATGATATCAGTAACATTTTCATTATCTAGTGACACACAATCTTAGGTGGGGAAATCAGATATTTCAGTATAAGATTCCATACAAGACAGAAGATTAGGTGTGAATAACACTATTAATGATGGCTTTCTGGATAGGTAATAACTTCCTGTGTCAAAGGTCAATTGTTTTAGGGTGACATGCTCTCCACACTTTAATGACTCTTGAGGAAACAGAGCAGTGTAGTTGTCAAAGAAAAGGTTTTCTTTTGTAGTGATTTGCAAATGCTATTCCTATAAGAAAAAAAAATTATAAATTATCAAGGCTTTGGAAAGGAAGGAGGGGGAAAATGAAGAACTGATACCTAGGGCCCAAGTTGAAAAAAAATGCTTTGAGATGATGATGTCAACAAATGTACAAATGTGCTTGACACAATGGATGGATGGAAGGATTGTGATAAGAGTT